CTGTAGATACAACCTAAAATCCTATTTGCCCTACCACTAGCAACAGCACACTGCCTGGATGGCTTTAGACTGATAACTATTACACCAAGATACCTTGCTTTCATGACACTATTAAGGTTATTCTCATCCAAGTTATACTTATAATTGAAATTAATATAAGCCACATGAATTATCTTACATTTATTATAATTAAAACCCATCTGCCATATATTTACCCAACTCATTAAATGATCTAAATCCTTTTGTAAATCAGCAGTATCTTCACAGTTAGCGACACTCAAGACATTAATATCATCTGGAAATTTAGGTAATTTATTGACTATTCCTTCATCTATATCATTTATGTAAATCAAAAAGAACAAATGTCCTAAGACTGAGCCTTGAGGTACTCAACTTGTTACATTAATCCAGTTTGACTAAACTCTATTTGTAACAATCCTCTGCTTTCTTCCACCCAGCCACTCTTCTATACAATTTGCTAACTTATCCCCCACACCTATAGATATAATATTTTTACAAGCCTTTTATATGGCACCTTGTCAAATGTTTCTGAAAATCCAGATACATCAAATCTACACCCTTACCCTCATCTACATAAGCAGTAACCTTTTCAAAGAATGTTAAAAGATTTGTAAGGTAAGATTTTCCCTTAGTGAAATGTTGATTATATAATAAAATTTCACACTTTGTTAAATAAGTTTGCAAAGTATCTTTTGACAGATTATTTGGCCCAGGATTTTCCACATCTGATCAGTGTCTCCAAATAACTCGGCTGCCCAATTTACAACAGATAATTATAGTTGCATCCCTTCAACATTTGCTTATTTGAAATTTGTAACCAAAATATCATTATTCCTTATCTCCATATGCAGCCAAACATTGAACCTAATGGAGCAATGATCACTTGCACCCAGATGTTCCCCAATTTCCACCCTCTCAATCATTTCTATATTTGAATTTAACAATAAATATAAAATAGCATTGTTTCTAGTTAGTTCCTTGACTAATTGGTGAAGAAAGGTTTTTGAAAACTGTTCAGGATGGCTTTCTCCTTCATGAGTTTACTCTAACATTACCCAATCTATATGCCTGAAATTAAGATTACTTATAATTATGACTTCATTAACAGCTGAAATCTTAATCTCACTGTAAGGTTTCTCACTAATTTCATCAGTATCATTTGGTGGTCTGTAACAAATTCCCACTAAAAGCGTTTTCCCTTTATATCCACTAATATAAACCCAAATGGATTCACTCACTTTGCTGTTATATTTGATATCCTTAACTTGAACAGGATGTAACTGACATTTTACATATAAAGCCACTCCCTATTGAATAGCTTGTAATCCTGTATTTCAGACATTTCTGTCATCACAGTCATGTTTAAACCATGTTTCAGTTATTCCCATTATATTAAAATCCTCCATTCCTACCAGAGCTCTAAATCATCTGTTTTATTTCTAACATTATAATAGTAACAATTAAGCCTAACCTTATAAATACTTCTATACTCATTTCCTATATTTCTAACATTACGATAGTAACAATTAAGCCTAACCTTATAACTACTTCTATATTTGTTTTCTATGCTTCATTTAGTGACAGGTTTTACTATTGGGTGGGTAATGGTGTAACACTTGGGATATAATTATTTAGTAATCTAAAATAAAAGCTATAATATGGATGAGCATAAGGTTATCACCAGTCTTCTAATTGAAACTTAGTTTCCAAACTACATAGTTACTGCTCATTACAAAACTTGTTGTTTTTTTTCTTCCTCCGCCAAAGGTTAATTTTGTGTTAATGTTGTTTCAGAAAATAAAATAATAAAAGATGCGTGAATGTATCAGTATCCATGTTGGTCAAGCCGGTGTCCAGATTGGGAATGCGTGTTGGGAACTGTACTGTTTAGAACACGGTATTCAACCTGATGGTCAGATGCCAAGTGACAAAACCATTGGTGGAGGTGATGATTCTTTCAACACTTTCTTCAGTGAAACGGGGGCAGGAAAGCATGTGCCCCGGGCTGTGTACGTCGATCTGGAGCCCACGGTGGTTGACGAGGTTAGGACCGGTACCTATAGACAACTTTTTCATCCAGAGCAGATGATAACCGGCAAGGAGGATGCAGCCAACAACTATGCTCGGGGTCATTACACCATTGGTAAAGAAATAGTTGACCTGGTTCTAGACAGGATCCGTAAGCTGGCTGACCAGTGTACGGGACTCCAAGGTTTCCTCATCTTCCATAGCTTTGGTGGTGGTACAGGCTCGGGGTTCACCTCTTTGTTGATGGAAAGGTTATCCGTAGACTATGGAAAGAAGTCTAAGCTGGAGTTTTCGGTGTATCCAGCTCCACAGGTTAGAAGCTTTGAGTATTCTTGAAGAATGCAATAAATACCTAACGGTATTAATGTATTCCCGGGTTCAAACCTGTAATTTTGTCTAATTTTCAAATCCGTAAGCGATTTCCAAAATATTTCATTAGGATGTGCGTTCTACCAAAATGTTTGGGATCAACATTTGCAAGCTATTGGTGAATTTTAGTTGGATAAAATGGTCATGTTATCAATGGATTAACCACCTTCCAGTATTTTTCACTTTTAATTCTGTTTTGTAGGTAGCAACTGCCGTTGTTGAGCCTTACAACTCCATTCTGACCACTCACACGACCTTGGAGCACTCGGATTGTGCTTTCATGGTGGACAACGAGGCCATATACGATATCTGTCGACGTAACTTGGACATTGATCGTCCAACGTACACAAACCTGAACCGGTTGATTGGCCAGATCGTTTCTTCCATCACGGCATCTCTGAGGTTCGATGGAGCCCTGAATGTCGATCTCACCGAGTTTCAAACCAACTTGGTGCCCTACCCTCGTATTCACTTCCCTCTCGTCACTTACGCCCCTGTAATTTCGGCAGAGAAGGCGTACCACGAGCAACTCACCGTTTCCGAGATCACCAATGCTTGTTTTGAACCTGCCAACCAGATGGTGAAGTGTGACCCTCGACACGGCAAGTACATGGCATGTTGTCTTCTGTACCGAGGGGATGTCGTTCCTAAAGATGTGAACGCTGCCATTGCTGCCATTAAAACTAAAAGAACCATTCAGTTTGTGGACTGGTGTCCAACAGGATTTAAGGTAATACAATTTAACTTTTCACATGTTGTGATACTCGTATCTCAAATATTTTAAATGTATTTCAGAAGTTTTATGAAGCATTTTATTTCCAGGTGAATTATAGCCAACTAATTAGTGTTTAATTATTTGTAACTTTCAGATTTGACTTTTGTTCAGCAGACATTTTAATTTTATATCAGATAGATGGTTCTTGTCGGACTTTCTACTGTGTCCTTTGTCAGTTGGTCCTAAGACTTTGAATATCTTTGTGAATTGTGTAATATAGTGATTTGTTTATAATTATAGTAGCTTCTGTATTTTTTTTTCTAACAAACTGCCATTGTAGCATTGCCTGATTTGGACAATTGGGGAATTTTATAATGACTGTCAAGCTTATTAATCAATAACATTGAATCAGTTGGTTATTCTTGGACGAGATTTAGATAGTTGGAATAATTGAAAATCATTTAGTGTTTCTGATCAAGTGATTTATTTCATGTAAGGTTTGGGTTTGCAAGATGTTACTAGAAGCCTTTCATACCACATGTAAGCAAGACATTTGTCAAGATGAAACAGTATTATTGAAACCCAAAAATTATAATAGAATAACCACCAAAAGCACATAAAACCCCAAAAATATGACGTCTATTAGAGCTTAGCAACTCAACTACCCATGAGCATGAATTACACAGTTTAGTGTCTGAATTACAGAAAACTACCAGTTATAGAAGTCTAACTACACACCTGAAGACGAGATCAACACATGACAATAATTAACTTGGTAATATTACCATGGCCAACATTAACAACAGAGGGTATCAACTACCAACCACCGACCGTTGTCCCCGGAGGAGACCTTGCTAAGGTTCAACGTGCTGTGTGCATGTTGTCCAACACCACTGCCATTGCCGAGGCCTGGGCACGACTGGACCACAAGTTTGACCTCATGTATGCCAAGAGAGCATTTGTACACTGGTACGTCGGTGAGGGCATGGAAGAGGGAGAGTTCTCTGAAGCCCGAGAAGACTTGGCAGCACTGGAGAAAGATTACGAGGAGGTTGGTCTCGACTCGACAGAAGGTGCAGAAGACGAAGGAGATGAAGAATACTAAACTTTTTATATATATATAAAGCAACTGTATTAGTTTAATATACTTTCCATTAATCTTAAGCCTTCCATTTTTAGCTTCTGAAACTTAGAATGATCTTCCAACATTTGGATTTTTGTATTTAATTATCTTTTTCTTACATTTGCTATTTTCATATGAGTTTTCTCAGCTCTTATTTATCTTACCTTAGAGAAAAATAAATGCAAGTGAAAGAAAATGTATGATAGTTTCATTTGTGTATAATATTAAATTATCAGTGAGAGGAGGGTGGGGGTAGTTAAATTTACGATACAATCTTATATTATGTACAGAAGTTAATTTAGGACACAATGAATTAGTATCAGGAAGAAGGGTATATTGTAAATGGCTGCTTCTAGTTGTTGAACAAGAAAGTGGTTATTGTTTTTAAAAATAAACTTTGATAATTAGTGAACTTTGTATCTTTACATATTGATCATAGCCAAAAAAAAAACTCGTCTGAGTATTGGCCTAATGATAACTTGATGGAAAATATGATCTATACCCCACCTAGCGTTCGTTTTGTGCCCATTTGTAAAAATATTAGCATACAAATGCATGATGTACATTGATTGGGTTTTAAAGTGCATGATGGTATCAACATTTAAATTGGCTATTATCAGGCACGTTTTAACGTTTTATCTTTATATGGATATTACACCAGTTTTAATGAATTTAGGAATTTCCCACACAAAAAATTTTGTTCTGAAATTTCAGTGTAAGTAAACTTGTGCTATGAACTTTTTTTGAGAATTTATAGGATTACAACACAAGAAAAAAAAATACCTTGACTGATGGTATTTATGACATAGACTAAACTAATGACTGTCTCTTCATTTCAAAGTGTGGTTTTAACTTAATGTGTATATTTCAGCTTTTAATATTCAGTCAACAGTGATTAGGTTTAGGTGGCCATTTAAAGTATAATGTTATTTCTCTGTATTTCTTAACATTAGATAAAGCATAAAAACTGTAAGATGAGTGGATTTCTAACGAAACGTTTTTAGTAAAACATACAAGACGATGCTTTTTTTAAACACCAAAGTATTGGAGGTAGCCGATAGTGATTAAACTTGTGAGTTAGGATTTAGACTTTTATTCCAGAAGTATAGTATGCTTTTGAATGAACTGCGTTCATGGAATATGCTGTTAATTTAACTAGAATAATGTTTATTTAAGCCCAACATTAATTGTAGTGAACCTAATATGTTAAAAATTAAATGCTGGTAAAAAAAATTGACAATATCCGAGATATCATTGGATTTGAGCACAGAATAAATGAATCGTATCTTAATGTTACAAACACACAAGGAAGTTAATCAAATAATGATATATATATACTGATCAGGAAGAAATTCAAAATCCGAAAGACTCAAAACTTCAAAAAAAAAGAGTCTTGAACATCAGATTTACAAGAGAATTCTTTGACGCAGTATTTAATAACACTTACTTGGTGTCCAGTGGTCAGGGCGGAATTGGAATGGTTATGACTGAGTGCCATGCATAAAATCAAACTTCCACCTGATTTCGAATATACGCCATAGCCCATCAAAAATGAGGGGGCAAATACTACTACCCCAACCTCTCATAGCTTACTGAAATAAATTTTGCGAAATCAAACTTGGTCAATGAAGAGGCAGAAAAATGCAATCGAGGCAGTCAAACGTCGATATATTTCTTTGTGAGCCAATCAAAATTAAGATCATTCGTGGCGTATTCATCGAATAATTGTTGATAAAAATGTCTAACTAATATATACATATAGAAAAGCCAGTGCTTGTGGGTAACACTACGTTCCAACAATGGCTTTTATATCACGTCGCTTAGCAACAAAATTATAACCTAATATTGTTAGTGTATGTACTGAAAATATAAAGTGAAATATATAGGCAACAAAACTGGAAAACATTTTTTGATTTCTTAATTTAGTCTCTGTTGATTAAAGAGGTTTGCGTTTTTATTATAAACGTTGGTGATATAACAAAAATAGCTTAATTCATAAACGATTTAAGTTTAAAATTGAATCGATATTTTTACTTTCATGGTAAATCTTATGAACTTTGCTGTAGGCCAGGTGATCCCACGCTACATCTTTAGGATTATTATACTAACACTCACTACACTTATAGGGTTTCACGGAACCCGCGTCACCAAAATGGAAATGGGCACACCGTAATCAAACTATTCTATTTGGATAAATGCATTTTGGTTTTTATGACTCCTACTTCAAGAAATCAAGCGTGACGTGGCACACACTGACTTTTATATAGGTTAGATATAGTCATGGCACAATATAATATAGATGGCGTACGACAGAAACAGATGTAGCAAAGATAAATATTTATGTTGTATATCACATTTCTTTTAAGAATTTTATGACACGATAAATGAGGTCAAGAGAATAGTTGTTAAGCTTAAGTTTTGCAGAATTTAATAGGTAACGAACCCATAAAGAAGACATTTTTTCACATACTTTTAACCCCGTATACAGGACACAACCTATCTGCTTTAGAAGGTACATGAATATCACATTTTGAAAACTAAATAGTTTATAGGTATCGAATTAAAGCTATATATTAAAATGTGAGAAAAGGTCGTTTAGAAGTCGACTTTCTAAAAATAATTCAAAGGTATTGGATTACAGCTATGGACTCGTATATTTTTAAAATATGTATTTGGAATTAAAATAATAATAAAACGAGTCTGCAAACAGAAACTGAACGGGCATGAAGTTGCAACTTTATCATCGGGTAAAGTAATATTTCTTCTAGTTGTACATTTTGATAAAAGCATTGAGATAACTCGGTCGATTCTTATTACAACATAGCTCGAAATATTCTTTGATTTATGAATTAATAAGCACGTACATGCAAGTATTTACACTATGAGTGTGATGTACATCGTACTTAATTATAGTATTTTGGCACTTGTGTATAAAGTTAAAATCATAAATAATATTCAACGTTAAACTGGTACACAATTAAAAACATTTTATTTAGGCCTATCTATGGCCTTCGTAAAGTTGACGACTCTATATACATCGTACTTCTTACTTAGGGCGACATCTATATTTTAGTGAAAGTCTTGGAATATTGAATTTTTTAAGGCTGTTTTCTTTGACCTCCATTACCTATTTTGGTTATAAATTTCACGTGACTTTTGAATCTGTGTTGTTCTTTTAAGCAGGGAAACAAATCATTTAATTAATGCGGTGTTAAAACACCGAATCTATGATTATGGGATTATTATAAATATTTCGAAATTACGAAGAGAAGCGCTGTGTATTTTGTTGTTTCTTTGGTGCAGGTCGGCGCCATGCGCACTTTTTTGTCTTTGAAAAATAATTACAAATTTTTGGTAACTTTGTAAGTTGTTATTAATATTTCTAAATATTGTATTATAAAAGTTTGTGCACATGTAAACAGATCCACCTTTAAGGATTTCATCTTTAATTCTATGAAATATCATTATGGATTCCAATTGTTACATCGAGTTCGAATCTTGTCACCGAACATGCTTGCCCTTTCAGTCGTGGTGGCATCATAAGGTTATGGTCAATCGCACTTTTCGTTGATAAAAGAGTAGTCCAAGAGTTGGTAGTGGGTGGTGTTGACTGGCTGCCTTCCCTCCAGTCAATCACTTCTAAATTAAGGACGGCGAGCACGGGCCCAGGGGAAAACATCCTCGCCGAGCTCCCTTTCTCTCTCTCTCTCTCTTTTTTTTTTTTAACATTTTAAAGAACATATTAAAGACAACATTCTAAATTAGGACAACAACGATCTCATAAACAAGACAAAATTATAGCAGCAGCCGTTTTTACTTCACAGTATAAACATAAAAAGGTTAATAAAGTAACAACAAATATCTATTAACTTTATAAAGTAACAAATATATCTTAATTATTACTCAAATTATTATTTCAGTCATTCTT